ACGGACAGTGAAACCTTATATAGGAGTATTACATATTTCGATTGGCTCAAATAGGGCATGGAAATCTGATGCTCCATTCCAATTTTCATTTGCACGAGTTTTATTTATCAGCTTTGAGCTTTTGCAACCTTACCCAGCGAGCAGTATCTGTTTATAAGATATATATGACAGTCCTTTTGGTCTCAACTTTATTCATTGTGTTCTTCTTTTTGAGGAAAAGGTTTCATGGGATTCTGATGCAGCTGCATATTCAGTGGCTCACTTTGGTTACACGTGCCGCCCAGTTCTTCACCCGTACTTGTTCTTGCTTTCCCTATTGAGTTAATCACCTTTCTTTTGGGTTTCACCGTGCCATTTGAAATCTTGATGCTTGATATCATCATTACTCCCGTAATGGTCTTCTTGCTCTAGGGAAAAAGCTTCGGAAGAAGAGTCAAATTAATTACTGGGCGAATGTGGCTAGCAAGTTGGCTTGGGATCCGCGAGGAACCAGAAATTTTTGTTTGAAAGGACGAAATATATTACTACTATATGCATATGAATTTTCAAATCTAGTACTATAAGAAAAAACATATGAATATCTACAAGTTTGGGTTCCATCCCCTTGCCCAGGACGTCATTCAGGCCTTGATCTCTCAGAAGACAAAAAGAATGACTACTTTAATGACCAAAAAAAAAAATTGTTCGCATGCAAGAGATGCAACACTCACGAAAGGTTTGAGCACTTTCTAAAAAGACCCACTTGAGATCGAATGAACTTAAACCACTCCAGTTTGAACAGATGATTTATAGTTAAGAATGGGTTTCATTTCGTTTGATTCTCCATTTTTGATAAAAGAAAGTGGGAGAGTTCCTTGTCCAGGTAGACTGTGTCATCTCAAATTTGTAAAATTTCTACTGGGTATCTTCCAAAAAGATTTTTTTTTTTTTTTAAAAAAAAAACCTGTTATATAATCATTTTCCCAACATTTGAGACCAATCATCATGCTTTTTTTATTTTTAATTTGGTTTGAAGCATAGATTTTATTGCTATAGTATCATTCTTTATTTTTTAGTACAAAAACACAAATTTTCATCAATATAAGTGGCAAAATTTGTTAATTACATATAAGTGAAAATATACTTTTATAATTTGCAAATATTTTAGCCATGCAATTTTTTATAATTGCAGCACTAAAATACATCATTAATTGAAAATAACGAAAGTCAAATTCTATGGTTATAACAGACTTTCATTAAAAATAATCAAATGCTATTAATAAGACATTATTGTTAAGTCAAAATCAAAGAAAATTTAGTGATGACATAATGTTATCACTAATTTATTCAAGATTATAATGACAAGGAAAGTCGTCACTAATTAAATTGCTAGTTTTTAATATTGTCAATTGCTAGTTTTTAATACTTTTGTGAAAATATTGATAATGGTTGAGAAAATTTTGTTACATTACTGCAAGTGATAAATGTACTTTTGTTCTTTTTCAAACATTTATTTTAATGTTTAATTTTGTTTAAAACTATTGTACTAGTATAGATTTGCAAGACAAAACTTAAGTTCTCAATAGTTAAAAAATTCATTATAGAGAAAACACAAAGTAGTAGTTGCAAAAAGTGTATAAATTACAGATATTTTAATGTGTATAAATTACAGTTTATTTTAATGTTTAATTTTGTTTGAAACTATTTTACTAGTATAGATTTGCAAGACATAGATTTATGGGTAATTTCTTTTTTTTTTTGCTTTCACATATTTAATTTATGTTAAATACAAAACCTACCAGTTTCCCTTTCATAAAAATATTAGTGCAACACTTTTTGAATTTTACTTACAAACATTTATGTATTTAACATAAATTAAATGATTTAGAGTGAAATGCCCATAAAGAGCAGAATATTTGTTCATGTAATGGAAGAAACCCACAAAGAGTTGGTACTTTATGGGCCATTTCTTTTTTTAAAAAAATTTAATTTATGTTGAAAAGATAACCTGTCAGTTTTCGTTTTGTAAGAAATCAGTGTAACACTTTTTGAATTTTACTTACAAACATTTATAAATTTATCATAAATTATATGTTTGAGAGTAAAATGCCGAATAGATAATGCTCATTTGCCCATAAACTACACTCCCTGAAGGCTATTTTGTTAATTACTTTGTAGTACTTTGTTATTCCTTTGCTAATACTACTTGGCATGTAGTACAAAGGATAAATCTGGCATAAATTTCTTATTCCATTGATAAAAAGACATGCCTGCCTTATAACTATTATAATGAAAGATATATCTTTAGAGTTTATAACAAATTATTACTTAAGTTTGAGAAAATTATAAAATATTTATGCATAGTTTATCAAGATACCATTCGCAATTTCCTAATAAAAAAATAGGGGCTAAATTGTAAAAGTTAGGGTGCCATAATAGAAATAATAAAATTAGTGTATTACATATGGGGGTTAAATTGCAAAAGTTAGAGTGCCATAGTAGAATTAATGAAATTGGTGAATTACATATGGGGCTAAATTACAAAAGTTAGGGAGTAATAATAGAATTAAAGAAATCGGTGTACTACATATGGGGCTAAATTGTAAAAGTTAAGGTATTATAATGGAATTAATGGAATTTTTTACAACATTTAGGGCTAAATCGCAAAAGTTAGGGTGGCACAGTAGAATTAATGAAAGTGACTTAGAAATAAGTACTTTAAACAGTGACGATTAATTCTTGTCACTAAATCCGAATTGGTAAAGTGACAGTGACGATATTAGAAGTTGTCACTATATAGATCATTTTAGTGACAACGTTTTTCAAGGTCGTCACTGAAGACTTAGTTGCTTTAAGCAATTATGACAACTTTCCTTGTCGTCACTAAACACCCACGTTTTGTGACAACTTTTGTCGTCACTAGAAAATGTTGTCACTAATGACCATATTTCTTGCAGTGTAGTTTGTGACGAAAATAACGGGTCGTCACTAAACATTTAGTTACTTTGATGCAATTGTGACAACTTTAGGTATCGCGACTAAAGAAGCTCCTTTTGTGACGACTTATTGTCATCACTACAAAATGTTGTCACTAATAACTTTTTTTTTAAGTGATCAGTGACGACAACAAAAAATGGTCCGTAAATAGGCCAAGCAATAGTGATGATGTTCTTAATGTCGTCACTATTGTGTGTTCTAAACACTCCCGCGCTCTTGCTAAATCTTGGCGGGAATTTACTAGTGACGACTTTTCTAAGTCGTCACAAATGAGTTGGCTCCCATTAGAGGTTTGTGACGAGTTAGAAAGTTGTCAATAAAGGATCTCCTTTTGTGACAACTTTTTTTCGTCACAGAGAAAAGTTGTCACTGATGACCAATTTTCTTGTAGTGACATCACGGGAAGATAAACATATGAATTTGAAGTTTTAATTAGTTGGTAAAGGAAGCAGAAAAATGGGAAACTAGAAGAAAGCGATCAAGATCAAACAGAAAACTATACCTCACCTTCACTCCTGCTGAAGGAAGAAGGATGACATTGTCGACGACAGGGCCGCAAAGCACAGAATTACTGGTCCGGGATTCCTTGAAGCTCGCTAACACTGATTCTAAGTTGTAACTCGGCCTGTGTCGTCACTGAAGACGAAAGCCGCGGAACAGTTGTGGTAAGAACCGTTTCCAATACTTTGCATTGTGAAATTCTGCACAAGCGTTCCTACTTGGACATTAACCAGGAATTCTGCTACGCATGAATCATTTGAGTCTCCCATTACGAACTCGAGGATGTATTTAGATAAAAGATCTTTGAAGACATATAAATGATCAGTAAGAAACTCCAAAAGTATCCTTTATAATCCTAACCCATTTAACAGGTTGCATAGTTACAAGCTCGAAGCTGCCAGATTCTACAAGATTCCGATCAGCAATTCGTATTGCTTGCATTTTTGTAATTTGCAGCTTATACTGACTTAGATTTCTAAAAATTACCGCTGTCCAATTAGCATTTCAGGAATTGGCAGCTGATTCGGACTGTTTTAGTACCATGCAATGAATCAGACGTAGAGAGAAGTTTATTTCAAAAAAAAAAAAAAAAAACCGCGAAGTACTAGACCATCAGATGGATCTTTAGGAAGTATTTACCCGAATAACCGTTGGGCATTTCATTTCTCTGCATGGCAAATGTACCTACCACAGGCCAATAAGTTACATTAGGTTGCTCATTTGTGACCACGCTTTCGATCTCAAGGTTGATGAACTCGCTTGCACCAACCCAGGGTCCCATGTAGGAAGCGTAGCTCGATCTCCCACGTTTTTCTACCCAAGTAGTAAGTAATTGCTTTGGATGGAAGGAGAAGACCTTGGATCCTCCAGGAACGGAGATATTGACAGCAATGGAATTATTGTTGCACTAACAGCTTGAAGGAAAGTATCAAAGATCACTATTTTCTCTTGGAATTCATTATTTCTATTTATAGCCATCAAATTGTGGAAGGAGAATGATGAGATGGAGTGTTTGCCAATTAGTACCTCTTTACTCCATTTGACTCGGATGTGGTATCCTGAGCGCTGCAATGATTTACCAAAGTATCTTCCTGATATCATGTGTTACCTTTCAAATGCAGCCAGCCTTAGATCAAGGGATATTAAAATGTTGCTTATTACCTTCTAAACTCTTATCTACTTAGCTTTTCTTGTGACATTGGATAAATTGAGACGATTGGTGGAATAATTGGCTTCTTGCTATTTCAGCATGCATTACTCAACCTTCGCAAGTTTCCAGCTTAATGACAATAACCCGGAGATTTATTTAAGCTTCTCGGCCATTAATTGACTGACCAATTTAAATATCTCTCGGTTTCGCTTTTTCTGCTCTATATTCAAGTATTTTACGCGCTAACAAACACTTAGTAGAATTCGAGTTGCCAAATTTCACTCACATTCATTACGATGATTGTAAACCCAGACTGAGACGCCCAAGAAGTCGCGTTAAATATGATGTTAGGAACGCGATAGCATGGATTGTATGGAGCTGAACCTATTCAAATAGATCAGAACTCAGACCCAAATTTTCCAAAACTTCATGTTGGTTACATATCAAGAAAGAAGGCTGTATGAAGGCATGTCCTCAATTCGGAGAACATCATCCATTAAAAGTTCTTTTTCCAACTGAGACCGGGTGGTTCTCAAGACATCCTGCCAAATGTAAGAAATTAGCAGAATGGAAAGAATCTTGAAGACCTATAATCAGCAAATCAGCTTAACATGGACTGTAAAACCTGACAAACGGATGTGATGCATGCAATCTTTGAAAGAAAAAAAAAAAAATGAGGCCGCATATGCGGATGTGATGCTCACATTGAATTCCATGTACGTTGCATTCCTTTCCAACCACTGTTTATCCATAACCACAAATGCCACGCAGTAAAGTAGGTCAAAGGCCCATTCATTTTCTGCAAATGCATAGAAGCGTCTACTTATATGTACAGATCTGATGTGCCAAACCTCTGGCTTTCTCATTTTTGACCAAGCAGCATTTGAGGTCTCTTTAGAACACAACAGAATATAAAACTCCAAGGGTCAAGGATCCCACTTCTCTTACCTGACAACATTTGTAGGAAAACAGGTCTCACAAATGTTCTGGGTTTTACTGCATACAGTTAATATGAGCTAAGTTAGCCTGTGCCCAAGTTAGAAGTATCAGTCTCATAGAACTTTTTGTGACATGACCATCCAATAGTTATTCAAATTTGACTAAATGGTGACAATATTCTTTTCTTACAGGAGTCCAGATCAAGCATCTGCATAAGCATGAAAGTTATATTTACACCACCAACCGCAAACGGATACTCCCAAGTAGCTCTATTACCACCTTCCTTCTTCAACAGTTGTTGAAATGATGTCTGTAGCAAGAAACACAGTGAACTTTTTATTCATCAATAGTTTAAGATTGTAAAACCAAAGTGTAGAGTCATAATAGCAATAATACTTGGACTGTCTCACAATGTAGGAAAGACTCGTTACCAGCTTCAACCAAGGTAAGACTTCCTCAACATGCAGGCATGTTTTCGCGGCTTAAAGAAAATTTAAAGCTACATAATAGAACTCTCCTAGGCAATATTATAACAAAAAATAACTTTCGCCCAAACAAATGCAAGAGTAAAAGCTTACAGAAAATGTTTTGGCGAAGAAAAGTAAGTTCTCCAAAGATATGAATCCAGCTCCCCTGGCCAAAAGAAACATCACCAACATCATGTCAATACGGAAGCATGAGAAAATACAGAAATGAGAAATAGACCTAGTTATGATTCTCACAGAAAGAGAGAGAGAGAGAGAGACCTGAAATCAGTTGATGGATCTCTACCCTGCCACCCCATATCTTTCCACTGATCAGATACCAAACTAATCAGCTCCTGACCGGGGTAGGTGGCATGCCATAGAGCCCTTAAACCTTCCTACCAGTATCAAAGATGCACTGGTGAGTCATTCAAGTTTTTGAATTATTACTGAGTCAGTCTTCAACAAAGCAACCTACTTTGATTTTTTTTAAACCCAGATACTCTAGGTAGTCTATGGCTAAGTTGAGTTGATTCAACTCCCATTTCAGACTTAGTTACACGGAAACTCTTTATTAGTATTAGGCTTGATGGTTATATAACAAGTGTAACAATCAGTCGTGATTTAGGACAAACTAAAACATGAACACACCTGATGTTCTACTTTGGAACCATCAAAACAGATCCTCATCCGTTGTTTTAACCTTCTCAATCTTTCTTCCTGCTAACTCCAGTGTCAGATTGTCAAACATTATTACCCAAATAAAAAATTATTAACTTCTAGTTACTTGTAACCTTAAATTGATATTCAAAATAAAAAAAGTATCCAGCTGAATTCTAGACAAGTCAAAATGGTCAATGGAAAACAACATAATAAAAATCATGCAAAATATGATTTACCAGTAATTGACAATCCGTTGCTAATACACTTACCTGTTGGGGTGTCAAATCGAAAAAAATTCGTTCGTAAGTTCCCTTTCGCTTGAAGCAAACACAAGTGAGACCTTTCCCCATCCAGATGGGTGCCCCGCAAGTTGCATCATCTGCAGTCAATAGAAATGTTTTTCACATTTAATATACAGATTCAGCTGTCTCACAAGAAGCACATTCAGGTGCGGGTCGCGTCTCATGAGTGACAGCAATCGGAGCTTACTTTTACAAGATTTTAAAGCCATCCCAACATGAAAAACATTATCAGGGATTAACAGACAGAAACACACAGTTCTGTTATGTATTCAAAGTTAGCAAAGGCCACACAAGGCGACAAAAAGATTGACCCAAAGTTCATCAAGACGTTGCTCTCTTGTGAAGCAATAGATTGTCAATGACAATTTAATGCAATGTTTAAACATAAAGAAGAGCAGGGCACAATGCTTCGGCATTTAATGTTAACTTCATGACTCTTGTGGATTGAAAGGCAGATTGTATTGATAGCCCTGACCAATGATCATTGTCCAACTCTACAGATATACTATCAGATGCGTTCAAAAGATGAAATAAGAACTATATACAATATCAGTTTCCTTAAAGACATACCACACAATGACAAAAGAAATACAAATAGACAGGACCAGTGACAAAATAGTTCTGTTTGAAAGAGTCAGTCGTTACCACCAAAGAAATATTTAGATACTTAAAGTATATTCTCTATCATTTATCACCATGAGATCCACATAAGTCAGATCATATCTTAAGGACTCAGTCTCAATTCCAAGCTGAAAATTTAAGTAATTAACAAAATATTTGCGGTACATCGTAATTACCAGATGCTTGCCAAACAGCTGGGACAAACTAATAATCTCCTCTATTTTTCTTCACTAACTTTTTCGCCATTAAATAAGAGAAAGAAAATCAGATTTTTCCTGATTTCTAGAATAAATTTTAATTAATTTTGCTTAAGCAGCGAGTGAATATATGCTTGCAATGCAAAATCAAATGACTCTAATAGCATTAAGCTAAATTTTATTCAGAAAAAGAAAAAGTCAAACAATTCATATCAACATTTACTAGGATGCTTAAAGAACCAGAGAGAGAGAGACACACACACACGCGCACACACCTTAAATATGTATATAATTTTAATCAAGCAATGACATAAAAACAATACAAAATAAAAAAACTTGACTAATAATCTAATAAACAGAAAGAGTTCAAGACAGTAAAAAAAAATTGCATTAAAATGATGAATGATGAATGTGAAGAAAAATCTCACAACCTAGCTTTTAACTGAATCTGACCCAACAGAAGAGTCTCGGTCTCAAGCAGCACACAAAGTCACACAACCAACTATAAACATACATTTCACCACTGCAATATCCTACATAAGCATAAATATAACTGAGATATAGACAGACAGCTCTATATTTATGTGAAGCGGCGTCGTAGGGAGTGATTGATAAGAGCTTAACAACTTACCTGAAGAAGCAGAGGAATTTGAGAGGGAGCATCTGGAGGCTGATGAAGCAGGCGGCGAGCGGACGGAGACACTAACGCAGCTTCCGTGAGTTCGCATTGGACTCATTTCAACGCTTTTTTTTTTGGTCGTAAAATCTTTGGATCACGCCTTCACTTCACACCAACATTTGGAGCGCACACTAGACACCGTGGAAAGACTGTCAGGGGTGGAGAGTGAGGACTGATGAGTGAGCGTGTATGGATGGATGGATGGCGAGGAGGTGTTGCGGTTTTGTCCACGAGAGAGGAATTTTATGGACGGAAATACCCCTGTTCATTTAATACTGTGTTGATTACTATTGTCTTGATTTTGATTCGGAATGATTATTAGTTTATTCTTTTGAACCTTTCAGCTCGCAGTTGGGGGGATTAGTTGATGAAGTCCTTAATTAGCGGTATCTTCTCTACCTAAATTGATTAGATTAGATTAGATGTACTTAATTAATTATTGGTGATGATATTTCCTAGGAGTTGGAGGGACTTTTACTCTGTCTTTTTTTTTTTGTGCGAAAGTTTATAATGTAATTCCTCATTTTCTCTCTGCTTAGGTGGTATGGCCAATTGAAGAGAATTGATAGGTCATTTTGAATATTTGAGTTTGAGTCATATTCATTCCCAGCTCTTCTCGTAATTTCTCTATTTTTTAGCAACTTAATCCTTTTTAATAATTTGAATTATATTTTATTATGATTTTTCTCTCTCGTCTAACAAACTTTATTTATATTTATAAATTCACTTAATTTATTTTATCCATATGTATTAACTTTATTGGTGTTACTTTAATTTGTTCATGGCGAAAAATGTTTTTGTATTTTTGGTGTTTATTTGAATGCAGACATATAGTTTTAGGTTTTTATTCATGTAAAAATTTAATAATTGATTCGAAAATTAATATGGTAACAAAACACATATATGCATTAATTTGCTAAAATAAATATTTATGAATATGCAACAATGTTGTTTTGTAAAATTATTCATGGTTGCACAATTTCACAACTAATACTAATACAGAAAGAAACTGTGTTAATGCAAAAGTTAAAATAATTATTGATTTCTTAAATTTAAAAATATACCCGGGATTGTCCATTTGTAAGGAAATCATAATGAAGATATTACACTTCAGTGTCAAGAACAATTATTAGATAGAAGTTTTAAGTAATTTAAGTTTTTTCGTTTTTAGTACCTTTAAAATATAATAATAATAATAATAAACAAATACGGTAAACAAGAGTGATGTAATTGACTATTTGATAATTTATTTCAGCAATTAAACTTAATATGTTCAGTTGTGTTTGATAACAAAAAAATAAAATATCTGAATTAATTAAGTGAGACTGAATTTTTCAATCAAATCTTGGTCCAAAAAATAAGTGATCAGTTATTCACTTATTATTTAATGTGATATACACTGAAATGTATCAAATTTAGTAATTAACTATTCAATAACTTAATAGATTTAGACTTTAGATTTCAATTTTCATATTTCTATTTTATCAGACGCACCCTGGATATGAATTGGAAAGTACAATGCTTCCAAAGGATTAAAAAAAATTGAGCAAATTATGCGAGAATTTAATTGAGAAAAGTTTCCAACAAGCCCCTAAATTTTTCACTTTGTATGATTTTAGCCCCTCAACTATAAGATGTCGCAAATAAATCCTTAAAAAAAGCTTAGTTTAAGGACTTTCGTCAATTTTGAGCATTAAATATGATGGAATTAAGGGCAAAATTGACCAAATAGAAAAATCAACCCACGATTTGATCAAAAACCAGCTAATAACATGGAGGTGAATGTTTCTTCATCTTTTTTCATCTTCTTTAATCCTTCACCTTTTTTGTCCCTAATTTGATAAAAATAATTAGTCAATGAAACCTTTTTAAACTGTTTTCGTGGGTTGTTTTTTTTGTTTGGTCAGTTTTGCCCCCTAATCCAATCGCTTCTAATGACCAAAAATTAATGGAAGTCCTTAAAGTAATTTTTTTATGTAAGGGTTTATTTATGAAAATTTATAATCGAAGGGCCAAAATCGTGCAAAGGCAATAGTTTAGAGCTATCTGAAAAGTTTCCTCAATTTAATTTAATCTTTGTGTACTTATGGATGGTTGACTAACTTGGTTAACTTGTGCAATGGTTAACCTGTGCAATGAACTAAGAAATATGATAATGCCTCGTGATTTCGTGAAAATAAAGAGCATGGTTTTTGGAGACACGCACAAATTAACATGCAAAAATAAATAATTATAATTTTTTTTACGAGCACACAATAACAAGCATTAAGATACCTAAATCCCTCCCTGCATACCATGTGAATGCATATGATAACAATTACAATTACTACTTTTTTTTTGAATAAACCAAAAATTTGACATTTGAACTATTCATTTTATTTTTAAAAAAATTTAACACATTAACTATGTTTTAACAAGTGCTGGACGGTCACTCATTAGGCAGAGCCATTAAAATACGAAACGTAATGTTCAAGATAAGGAACCAATTGATGAGTAATCGAAAAAGTTAAAGACATGTAGGTTGGAAGGATATTGACATTTGTGTTTTAGGCAATATGTTGAAAGCATATATAGAATTTAGGTCCTTTTCTTGGAGGTCATTGTACAGGACGAGAAAGTCGCTACCAACCAACCAACCAACAAGTGATATGTAGTACGTCGGCATGGAGACAAAGGAGTCCACAAACAGGAATCAATTTCCACACATGGCAGCCGGCTGATCGGCTCTCCCAACCCCGACACTATGACACTCTTTTGACACCAACAGCATTGTGTTGTGTTGGGTAGTGATGAATTCGTTTTCAGGGTGGCATTTGGCATAACGATCAACGCGCCGTCGCTACATCTCCAAGACCCGTGTAAGATCATCTGTGGTTCCATCAAAAAGCCTTCAAAACAAGAGCTTTATCCAAGCATTAAAAATTTTAGTATTGGTTTCCTTTAGCCAAACTTTGGGACTGTCTTTAATGAATTATGAAACAAACAAAAACAGTTTTTTTTAAGTCGAATTAAATATGCAACAATCAGTTCAAAAGTAGTGAAATTGCAACAAGAGATTTGCCCAAAAAACCGTGTCCGACCGCGTATACCCGGGAATCGGACAGCGAAAGGGGGGGAAAAAGAAGAAAATGCTTGGGAATTTCAAGAGATCCGTGTCTTTAGTCGATGGCGTTTACTTTTAGTTGTAGTTAACGTTGTCCACGAGACAAATTATGAAACTAATCAAATTGCTTTTTTGTTTCTTCAGATGTCCGACACTGCACACACATGCACATGCATGTATGCTTACTTCCATATAGAAAAACATGCCTTGACAAATGAGTGAGTTTGGACGAATAAATTTCGGAACCTTAGATCTCATCACATGTGATTTGGCAATAAATGATTTTTGATGGAAAGAATTTAAATTCTTATCCGTTAGTATTATTATATGAAATGCGTATACTATATATGATGCATGCAGTAGGTTCTTGTATGTGGTTTTTGTTTGATTAATTGCACTTAATAATAATAATAATTCATGCCTTGTACCATCTTAATTAGCATCCACAACCTAATGACCTGCCCCTTGCGCGTCTTTCTACCATCAATGAAGGAAAGGAAAAAAAAAGGTGAATTATACCATATGATAGCATTGCCCATGAGTGTGCTGCTGCTGGACGCCCCTTTGGCCAACACCATCACGCAAACACAATAATGTGTCCTTGGACTATATGCACAAATCCATCCTTTTGGATTCAGGTTTGCCTCTTGACGAAGTGAAAACATCCACAAGAGACTTATTCGTTCTATATAGTAGTATATATCGCACAGGCAGAATTATTCGTAGCCAAAGGACATTCATGCAATTCAGATCTCATCCACAAGAGACAGACAGTGAAACTTTATAGTATTAATTACATATTTCGAATGGCTCAAATAGGGCATGGAAATCTGATGCTGCATTCCAATTTGCATTTGCACGAGTTTATTTATCAGCTTTGAGAGTTTTTGCAACCTTACCCAGCGAGCAGTATCTGTTTATAATATACCATATGATAGTCCTTTTGGTTTCAACTTTATTCATTGTGTTCTTCTTTTTGAGGAAAAGGTTTCATGGGATTCTGATGCAGCCGCATATTCAATGGCTCACTTTGCTTACACGTGCCGTGCCGCTCAGTTCTTCACCTTTACTTGTTTTTGCTTTCCCTATTAAGTTAATCACCTTTCTTTTGGGTTTCACCGTGCCATTTGAAATCTTGATGCTTGATATCATCATTACTCCCGTAATGGTCTTCTTACTCTAGGGAAAAAGCTTCGGAAGAAGAGTCAAATTAATTACTGGGAGAATGTATCTAGCAAGTTGGCTTGGGATCGGCGAGGAACCAGAGATTTTTGTTTGAAAGGACGAAATATATTACTATATGTATATGAATTTTCAAATCTAATATATAAAAAAAACATGAATATCCAGAAGTTTGGGTTCCGTCCCCTTGCCCAGGACGTCATTCAGGCCTTGATCTCTCGGAAGACAAAAAGAATGACTACTTTAATGACAAAAAAAAAAAAAATGTTCGCATGCAAGAGTTGCAACGCTCACGAAAGGTTCGAGCACTTTCTAAAAAGACCCACTTGAGATTGAATGAACTTAAACCACTCCAGTTTGAACAGATGATTTATATTTAAGAATGGGTTTCATTTCGTTTGATTCTCCATTTTTGATAAAAGAAAGTGGGTGAGTTCCTTGTCCAGGTAGACTGTGTCATCTCAAATTTGTAAAATTTCTACTGGGTATCTTCCAAAAAGATTTTTTTTAAAAAAAGCCTGTTATTTTCTTGATTTTTGCCACATTTCTTGACTGTCACGCCCCTTCATCTTCTCCATTCGACTTTCACAAGAAGTTGATGGGACAGAATAGGCCTTGCGAACCGGGGATGTTCACACTCCAATTTCTTATCTTCCTGGAGTCCTTTTTGTGCACATAATATAGTAGCATTGGAAAGGTCTTTCAAAGCACTATATGAATATGTAATAAAACATATTCAGTTCTGCACACACAATTCGCAGAAATTCTAGGCTATACGTATTCTGAGGAAGGAGAAGCAATGTGGAGAAATTAAGCAGAAAATCTTCAAGCGCTTCATACTCTGTTTCTGCCTGACGTTAGCGTCTATATGTTTCCGAAAGAGGTAGGCGATGGGAACGGGCTTT